CAAATTTGTATTCCAATTTCTCCAACATTGTTGCTTTGTCCACAACCGCACCAGACCTGATAGCCGACTCCATATGTTTCTTACCGTGGCAATGGGTCCGCCGCCCCTCGCATGATTTGACGCCTTATGGTTGCCTCCGGTCTGTGTGCAAGTCCAAGGGATATGAGAAGGTGGCTGACGGCCTCTGAGACTTACGTAAGAGCTCACCAAAATTTACGGCCCGTTGGATTTGGTCTCTCCTGTCGTTTGCACTAGCTTACGAAGTTGCGCGGTTAGCCATTCGCTCTAAGTATCCGTCGAAGATATTGTAAGTAAGCAGCATTGTTTTCCTATTCACTGCAGTGTGTCTCCAGTGATATAGCGCCCTTCCGCAACTGCCATAATTTAGCGTAAGTTTATTTGCGACTCTTGACAGAGCTCTTCTCCCTTCCCTTTACCTCACAGGTAGATGTCATCGCATCCCAGTTTGACCGGCTAATGCGGCGCTTGCAGGATCAACAGTTTCTGGGCTCCGTGGAGGCCCTGCACGAGACTTACCTAGCCGGTCTACAGGCCCAGGCCTTCCTTCTGCACCCCATTCTGAAGCCCTGTCTCACTCGTCTGTTGGCAGTTTGTCGCAGATTCGTGCGGCTAAGCCAACAACCAGAGGCTGCGGCATCTGACGCGGACGCTAGTGGAGATACTCGTCGCCGTCTCCCACCAGCCTGGGCAGTGCTGCGCGCGGAATTCGAGCATCTGGCCTTTGTACTCTTCACCAGCCTGTCCAGCGCACGCACCACATCTAGTCGGGGTCTCGGAATGGGCATCCCAGATACGTCTGGTGGCGGCGCCAGTCAGATGGGAGGCCATTTAACCCAACTCCTTTTGAGGCTGGACTTCAATTCGTTTTTCGGCAAGTTTGCCTCCGAGAAAGGTTGAAATGGCACCCACACACCGGCTCCTATCGACTGGGCTCATGCATTTATTATCTCTCCCCGAGGTTTAACATTATGCTTTTAAACCCCTCAGAATTTTATGCATTTTCTTGTGCGCACGTACTTGTTATTACTTTTTTTAAAATATCTATTACATTCCAATCTTAACCCCATAATTTAAATTCTCTCAAAAGCTGACCGCGTATTCCTTGAACCGGTATATTCGATATGTATAAGTCACTTTCTTAAGGATCAGCAGAAAAGACTTCAACCACAGCTTCTTTTATGGGCCGCAGGATGGTTGCTTCCATCGGCAAGGATGATTTCGTCCTAATAGCCTTTTCGATAGAGGTTTTCTGTGAGGCCGCCAGTACGAAGTCTTTGTATACTCACGTCTTTGCCTCCCCAAACGGACCGCCAGAGCTAGATTAGGGCACGACAGACGTTATTCGGGTTGCGCACCCTGTACAAATGTCGCATATGGGGGAGGGTGGGGGGAGTGTGATGGCACGCGTAGTCGCAGGTTAACGACGTACCAGACACCTGCGTCTTTTCCCTGCCCAATGAGGGCATGACAAACTATAATACCGTATGTGCTTCATCTGCGCCCGACTCTGCCCCTGCTTCTCTTGACTTTGTGTGACTCGGTAGATGCATCGCAAATCTACTAAAACTTAAAATTCACGCGCACTTCATCGCGTTTCCTTTCAGCCTACTGAAGCACATGGTGGACAAAGTCGAACTGTCGCGTCGTATACTGTCGCCATATTTTAGGGCCGGCTGGATTTGATCGCGTCCCGTTTGCATATGCACTGGTTGGTAAAGTTGCGTGCATAGTACCCGTCGAAGATATTGTAATTCAGCAACCTTTTCTTCCAGTTCACTGCAATACGCCTCAAGGCGTCAGTATAGAGTTCTGACGCAGCTGCGTTTGTGACTGATCGGGTGACCGCGGGCACTGGACCGACCAACATGGGGGCGACCGGATAAGGGTGTGAGGGCGCAGACAGTGTGTTAGACGCAACGCAAGTTTACCAATACTTAAGACTAGTTCACGTCAATGTCCCTGCACCATCGGACTGTGTAGCACACGGTGGGTCTCGTAAAAATTGACGACTGAACTGTTGGTTGCTATTGAAGTTCAATAATTCCGTCGTATTGGTCAATTTCACGAAAATGTTGTGTTTTAGACTACCACGCGTGTTTCATCGAGCTTGTGGCGTTGCATGACGTAGCTGCTGGGAATTGGGTTCATCAGTATGTCTCCCAGCGTTCCGCACGCGAGTTCTTGTATCTGAACTCCAGTTTTTACCCTGCCTTAATTATT